AAGTGTTTTGTTTCGTGAAAGAGGTTGTCGGACCAACCAAAGGAAATGGGCAACATGAATTCCATAAAACAAAAAGTGCCGAACCATGTGATGTCTGCATGTGTGCATTTGTGGCCCGCCAGAAAGGGCAATTTGGCCTGTTCTTCTAGCCAACACAATTGTTTGTACAGTTCTGCCAATTTGGCGGCTCTTGTAGCGGCGTCCATGGTCCGCCGTGCCGGGGTGAATGGAGTGGGTGTGGGATCCAGATACATGCAGCCCTGCGTATGAGAAAAGTTGGGTTGACTGCAGTTGGGAGAGGCAATATAGAGATCGTGGACTCGAACGAGCAGGTTCACAAAGGCCCGTTCGTCGGGAGATTCCAAGACAAACATTGAGTTGGTTTTCTCTGTGCTTTTGCCAAAGCGATCTTCTAAATACCCCATAATCACGGAAGCCTCGAACAAACACATGCCAGTGTCCGTGATCAAGGCAGGGACCTTGCGACCCGGATTAATGGCACTGTATGCATCAGATTGCAAATCCGACATTTGTACCAGCCGTCGTTCTACTTGATCCTCACGGATACCCCGGAACCGCAACCACAGTCGTCCAAAACTCACACAGTGGTATGAACATTGTTTGACCGACAAACAGTTTCAGATTGTTCGAGAAGAGATTGTAGAAGATCACCGCGAGGCTCGAGCTCGGGGAAGATTAACGGGAGTCCAACAAGATGTCAAGAATCACCCAGAGTACAAATGGAAGTACATGTAATGTGAGAACGACAACAATCAGCTGATTTATCGATGCAGCGACCCACCCAAAGATTGTTGGAATTGGCTTTTATGCGTGCTATAATGAAGTGAGAAAATCTAAATCAATCTACAGCCGGGGGCTGTGGAGCCATCATTTTAAAATTTGCTCAACCAGAAGTCTCAGAATTCGGGGAGAGCCTCCTTTACACAAGTCGCTTACAGTACTATGTATGGCAGTGACAATGACGAGCAGTTAAACCATCGGACAGGGAGCTAAAAAGGTACAATGCCCCACAGGAGGAGCTCTCTAGAAGCTCCACTTGTGGACTCAAGTCTGCAAATTGGATGGTTTTCGGTGCGCTCCCTTGAGAATAGCGGGACCCACAACTGTTCTTGGCCCCTCGGATCTGGAAAAACGCAACTGAGAGCATAGGTTTTCTAATTTGGTTTTTAAGTTTCTACCTCTTGGTCCTCTCAGAGACCTACCTCTTTGCTCAAGCCTGGCCCTGGCTGGCTTCCGTAGATAATATACCTACTCTAGACCCCCGTTTGTCCTCCACTAGCTAGCTAGAGACTACTAGCTACCGGTATGCACTAGTAGCTAGAGCTAGTAGCAAAGTTTTCAAGAGAAGCCAAAAGTTCTCCGATGCTATGAGGTGGTAGAGCTGATTACGGAAATGAACGGCGAACTCGTGGTCCGGAGATGAACTGCGAGGAACCATTGACCAGGAAACGGCTGGATCTTCATCTCGGTGACACCGACGAAAAAAAGACAAAGGCCTATCGGTAGACCTATCGGTAGCTATTGCAAGACATGCTCCTGAAGGATCAAAGCATGAAGACAACCATGATGAAGCGAATGGTTTATTCAACAGCGACTTCACAGAGAAGGCGGAGCCTTACTCAATCAGCAAGAACAGCCTCGTCCCTGGCTCCTTGTCCGGTATTGTCAGCGGCATTACCCCATCTGAGAGAGAAATTTGCCAAGAGGTCAACCAAGAACCCAGAAAGTGGCAAGACTGTGTTTCCACTGTTCAGCCAAAAGATAGAGGCAAATGTCTGGAAAACTGTGAAACTAGATCAGGAACGAAAAGCTGCAGTCTTGGTGCCTTTGGTTAGCTTTGAAGGAACACCCTCCTTACTATTTACCGTTCGATCGAGCCATCTTCCAACGCATGCCTCAGAAGTCAGTTTTCCAGGTGGGCATTTTGACATTACAAAAGATTCTACACTGCAAGATACAGCAGTACGAGAAGCTCAAGAGGAATTACTGGGCGAGGACTATCCATGGGAAAAGGTAGAAGTCTTGGGAAGGGCTACGGCATTGCCCTCGATCAAGGGGACTCCTGTTACTCCCGTGATTGCCGTGTTTCCAGTTCCAATAAATGCAGATACGTTTCCAGGACATGATGGCGAAGTGGAGGAAATTTTCTGCGTTAGCCTGGAAGATCTGATTGCCATGGAAACCACCGAGGCTTCTTCACGATTCCGAGCATTTATCCCAGTCTTTCCTGCAGGGGACAAGCAGAGGATTTGGGGCCTGACAGCAGTGATCACGCAACCCTTGCTGCACAAACTATTCAAACCTGCCTTTCTAAATGAAGAATGACAACACAGAATCAAGGTCACGACTATGATGTGGGGGCATGAAGTATAGGAAAAGAATGATATTTGCATTGTCTACTTTAGATTGAATCGCTTAATTGGTGACTGTGACCTTCACATAAATTACATTGATGTAGTAGTTCAGCCCCTTTCGGCTAAAATCTTATGTATTAGTGCCCTTCATTATGGTGAGATCCAGGGCAGCCATTGTCGCGCAGCCACTGGATCACTTCCCTTTGGTCATTCACGCTGGCAACTCGATATGTATCTTCATCCCATGGACAACCATTTAAATGGGCCCACTTTAGAGTTTCCAAATGTCCGTTTCGAGCAGCAAAAGCACATGTCCAACGATTCCATGGACACTCATCTTCACGAGCCCACTTTAAAATCTCCAAATGGCCATTTAGAGCAGCATTTGAGCACGTCTCTTCATCCCATTGACAATCATTTTCACGAGCCCACTTTATAAGTTCCAAATGGCCATTTAGAGCAGCATGGGCACATGTCTGTTCATCCCAGGGACACCCATTATCATGAGCCCACTTTACAACTTTCAAATGGCCATCTAGAGCAGCATGGGTACATGTCTGTTCATCCCATGGACACCCATTTTCATGAGCCCACTTTAAAAGTTCCAAATGGCCATTTTGAGCAGCAAAGGCACATGTCCACACATCCCATGGACACCCATTTTCATGCATCCATTGGAGAGCTTCCAAATGTCCACCTTCAGCTGCTCCAGCACATGTCCACTTATTCCATGGACAACCATTTGCACGAGCCCACTTCAGAATCTCGAAATGGCCATTTTCAGCAGCAAACCGGCATGTCTCTTCATCCCATGGACAACCATTTTCTCGGCCCCACTTTACAATTTCCCAATGTCCGTTTCGAGCAGCATGGGCACATGTCGATCGATTCCATGGACACCCATTTTCTCGAGCCCACTTCAGAATTTCCAAATGGCCACCTTCAGCAGCATTTGAGCATGTCTCTGTATTCCATGGACAACCATTCTCTCTTAACCATTGGAGCATTTTCAAATGGCCATTTTTAGCAGCTCCAGCACATGTCTGCTCGTTCAATGGGAATCCTTGTCGGCGTGCCCACTGTATGACAGCAAGATTTCCAACTGTGGCAATGGCAGTGCAGACATGAGCACGAGCAGGTCTTTTGTTGGTGGAATTGTCCTTGTGCCAGAATTCTGTGCGCTGCTGATTAGAGAATGTTTCACTGTACAGAGTGTTGGTGCTTTCTGCAGAGCGACAGTTGTCATCATCTGGGTCTTCCTCCGGGTTAATTTTTACCTTTCGAGGATTCTTCTCGAGTTCAATTTTGCAGTACTCTTTGTACAGTTGATTCATCTTCTTGTTGACAGCTCCCACAAAAGCGTACTGTCCAACACCCACACATGATAGAATCTGGCCAATCCAAAGTTCACCATCAACCCCCAGAAGAGATTCCAAGGGAGGAGACATCTTCTGTTTCTTACTATTGTTGGGTGAACTGCTATTGACAGCAGGAGCAGCAGCGCCAGCACCAATACCGGTACCACTACCAGTAGCATTACTATCAGAAGACATGATACTACCAACGGGACGAACGGACGCAGTGACAGGTGCAGTAGCAGAGGTTGGGTGATTAGATAAGACAGCACCCAAGCAGACGTCTCGAACCATTTGAAATCAGCGAAGCTGTAGCAACGTTCTTTTCCTGGAATGAATCTTCGGGGTTTCTACGGGAGTCATTGGATACCATACATCATACAGTACTACCGGTATGATAGCTAGTGGAGTATGATAGTTGTTTTTGGAGTAGGTAGTACCTAACCCACTAATGCTGAAGTCAAGCTATCAGCACAATGAATGCATGTTGGAAACCCACTTCATTTGATTTCCTGGCTCTCCCAACCGGGTATACACTTCGCGGAGGGTGCGTGCTTCAAATAGCTATTTGGTGTGGCACATTATGTTCAGGTGATCCTCACGGTGGCTGAACCGGTAGAGCCCCTGATCCCACTGAAAACTGTCCCTCTAGCTAGACACTGTCTCTGCAGCATTTGCATTCACTGGTACGGTAGCATCTCGTCACTGGCGTACTGTGTGAAGAGTGCTTCCCCAGCTTTTGGCCATTTTTAATAAAATTACTTCCGTGTCAATCTAGTGTAATTAAAGTTTAGTTCAACGTAATTTTAATCGCTGCATCCATGGGACTGACGCATGCTTCCTACGAAATCTCTAATTGTAGAGTTTGAACTCATTACCTAATTATTTCTCCATGAATACTTTCACAATCGCCGCCATAATTTTTTGCTCCTGAGCAGTCACGGCAACCGCGCTAGACCTTCAATTCACAACATGCAACCTCGCGCCTCTTTCGCGTCATCGTTTTTCCCCACCATGACCATGATGAAACCACGGCCGTCGCGCATCAGCGTCACGTTCCTTCGAGACTCCAGCAAAGATGCTACCAGTATACTATGGGAGTGTGCAGGGGTGGAGCTGTGCCTGAATCGGTGTCAAGGGCAGGTGATTGTTATGAGTGTCGACGCCTCCTTGTTATCGACCAACCTTCAAGTGGGAGATGTTCTAGAGACCATCAACGGTCGGTCTTGTCATAATGTGGAAATCACGGATGTGTGGGCCATGGTAGATGGTTCCGCTCCCATTATCTTGGAAGATAATGAAGCTCCCGAGGAGGAGGGGGCTGCTACCCCTGAAAGTGCCTCGGACGATGGTACTACTACCGAGTGTTCTACTCCTGCCACTGCCACTACTAGTACCGATATTCCCTTGGTGACGCTGACCTTCCAGTGTCCAGAGGGTTGCAGTGATATTCTATGCGCCATTTCCATCCCTCCTGGCAAAGACAAAAAAGATATCGATAGTCCTGAGCAAACCTATGCTTTGGGGTTAACGCTCATGGAGCTGGAACAACAACCACCGCTACGACGGCTTCGCAAATCAGCCACCAATAAATCAGTGGCCATTACAGAGCTAGATGGATGGACAGCACAATCTGTATTATCCCTTGGGGATACCATCGTTTCCGTGAATAATACTCCCATTACTGGCTGGTCTTTGGATGCCGTTGTGGTCCTCATCTCCAAGCAAATTGCCGACCGAAACCCCATTGCGATACTGGCAAAACCCACCGACAACAACAACCAACGAGGCAACTGGGGTCAGAGAATACGGCGTGCATCCGTCAAGGTCGGTGGAGGAGTCATGGTGGGCACGGGGGCTGTTCTCATGGTGACACCCTTGCATCCGGTAGGACACGCCTTGGCCATTGGAGGTGTAGCTGTATTGGGAGGTATGCGACGAAGAGAAGGGAAACAAAAGGAGGAAGATTCGAAAGAGGAAGTTGCAGCGGATGATGATGTGACCACCAAAGACAGTGATGAAGAGGGAGAAGACCCATCGCAAGAAGAAGAAAAACAACCCACATTAACGGCGGAGCAGGAAGATCCCGCTCCAATCCATGACGAAACTCCACAAGACGCCAATCAAGAGGAACCTGTTCTAGGAATCGCCGTGGAGGCTGCATGAATTAAGCTCAGTTCTCTTGTGATGGCTGGTGACAACTTTGGATTTGAGAGGCTTCGGACCTACATCCGATGGCTGCTATCGTTCGAGTCGACGCGACACACACTAATATCCAATTCCAATGTACAGTTCATGTGTCCAATATAAATTACCCCTCTTATGACTAACCAGTCACTAGCTTTGTTTTGTCGACAAAGCAAAGCATCTGCTTGGGACTCTTTTCATCATCTCTTTCGTCTTTTCATACACAACACAGCACCTCGATACGTTATTAGTTTGAAGGCAGATGTTTAACCTTGAAATCTTCGGGTGGGCCTCCTTCCGTAGAACCAAACCAACTCTGCACGTAGGAAACACTAGCCAGTACCGAGTTTCTGGCAACGTTGTAGAAACGTTCCATACAACCTGGATTGTTGTTGCCACCTTCGGAATAGTCGGGAACCGACCCAAAGACGAGCCCTCCTTCAAGGTACGTGGCGACGACTGCGGCGTTTCCGATCTGGTTGGTCGGAACTGAAAAGATATCAGTGTCGATCAATGCAAAGTCGGCATACTTCCCCGTCGCAATGGTGCCAACGCGATTTCCCATTTGAAGTACATTGGCAGCGTTGATGGTGTACATTTGCTGCCGTACGAATGCATGTGCGCATGACACAGAGCAGGAAACAACATACATGATGTGAGGTACCGGTATAGACGTAGAACACAGTGGTACACAGCGCCAATACCGTAGCCACGCAGAGACATACCAACGCAACTTCCAAACTAGGAAGGCTGCGACCATCGGCCCGATTCAGTACTTGCTGGAGCTTGAGAAGCGGACTGAGTGTATCTGCATCCCAGTCGCTGCTCAAAGTCATCAGCCCAGCACCAGCTTGAAACACTTCGTTGGCGGGCAAGAATTCATTGGTAAGTGTCGATCCGATTGTGAAGCGCATTAAATCAATATTGCCAGCGTTTAGAGAACTGGCAGTCAGTTGGAAATCAGGGTTTGCCATCAACGATGCAAACCGAGACCGATCACTGGATCCAACAAGGAAGAGATGCGTCAGTCGATGCGGCCCATTATTGTTGGGCGCAGCGGCAATGCAGTTCAAAGCGCGATTGGCTCCAGTATCGCCTGTAACCTGCAAGAGGCGGTTGCAACAAACAGACAGTTTTGAGATGGGGCCCATTGCCAACGTAGTTCAAGTCAAGTTCCTTTCCAGGTGTTCGTGTATCTGAAAACTTACATGCAGATGCAGCTGGAACCCGTTCGACACCAGGGTGGAACATACGGTGTTGAGATAGGTCGCATTGCCAAAGTACTCCATGCCCTGCCACGTTCCACTACTTGTTCCCCGATAGCGTGAGAAAGGATCGTTGCTATAAGGCACAGACAAGAGGCCCGTCGCCAATGACAAGATACCATCCACGTAGATTTTAGCGGCGTTGAATCGCAACCGGGCAGTATCACCACCATTGCTGAAACGCATCCTCAGATCGGACAGTTGTCTATCGATGGGAATATCTGGATAGATGTACAGTGCATTGCTGGCCCTGACGGTAAGACGATTGGCGGTTTGAGCTCGAGCCCAGGCTTCCGTTTGAGCTTTTGCGGTTACGATGCAACATGACAAGGAATGAGTGACTCCACAAGCCAAAAGACAAAGGGCAACCAATCTACGTAACGTACCTTGTCGCCAGAACCCACCAGCATCCGACACGGTCGTGATCCCATTCCGATTCAACTCCTGAAGCGCAGACAGGAGACTCTGGTAGGCAATCTCCTGATTTTCAGTTGAGGACGGGGGAAAGGCAGCGGAACGCAAGGCCTGGAAGTACGCAATCGCTAGATGATGAGTGTGCAGCTACTACGAAAATCCATCTATCTGTAACGCTCTCGGTGGACTTACCTGTTGCGCGTTTTCTATGAAAACGAACAGCAAAGTGTGAGATGATAGTTGGGAGACAACATACATTGTACCCGTAGGCAACCCATCACGCTACACGTTCTTCTTACCCGTCGCGATCCCAATCATGACACCGTTGCGAACGAGGATCTGTCCTCCTTGGGGGTTGCTGGTAGCGGTGTATCCCACCCTTTGAGCAGCCGCAGTATTGAACAGTGCGCCATGGCCAAATGAATCCAGGATAACCACAGGAGTGGCCTGAAAGTACTCGTCCTGTGGCGTTGCAATTAATAACAGAAGCAGCAAAAGACTGAGCAAGACGAGGCAACAAAGAATAGCTTGGCTGATTTTTCTTGGCGGGTGCCAGCCACCTTACCAAGACCTGCAGCGGTGTTCTCGAGCCACCATCAATTTCGCGAATCAAGTTGCTGATATCAATCCCTGCCCCCATGGCCCAACCTGATCCTCCGAACAGGCCATTGTTAAAACAGGTGTTTTGGTTTTGGAAAGCGACGGGGATTTGTTCGACGCGTGCACTCGCAGGAACGGCACAAATGTTGTTGTTGATGCCAGCCTCGACGGCATGCAAATGAGAATCAATAAAGCCAGGGATGAGCAATTGTCCTTGTAGATCCTTTTGCATGTATCCAGGATGCGCCGCCGTGACCTCTGCCACCTGAAAGTGATTTGAGTTGGGGGGAATCGAAGGAATCCCGGAGGAGTGAGAGTCTCAAAGGATAGGAAAGCATCAACAACATGATCTGATAACGAGTCCGTACCGTGCCCACTGTCTCAATCACGCCTGCAGCGTTAAATGCCACTGCCTCGACTATGAGGTTGGTCTTGTCGAGCGTGTAGATTTTGCCATTGCGAAGAATCGTTTGAGCATGACACGCCGTTGGCAGAACAAGAGCAACGGCGAGAAGAAGAAGCGATGCAGCCAACTGGCCTCGAAGACTTGGTTGAGCTACATCTGCCTGAATCCTTTGAATTGGAACCATAATTCGTCACTTGATCCCCAATCCGTAAGGAAGAAACTTTGCAAACGAAACGCTTCCGGTAGAAAAGATCTTGTGCCGCAAGCCAATGGATGTGCGGAGAGATTTTGCTTTGGGTCTGTGCTTGTTGGGTGCATTCACTCAACAGAAGGGTTATGCCGCCTTGACCTGCCCTGGAATGTCCATTCGTTGCCACCCCATCCTTGGCAGGTGCAGCTTCGGTGGTTTGTCTTGCACCCACCGGTACGCCAAGTCAAAATAAGTAGCTGGGTGAATCTTCTGGCGGCACTCTAAGTACGGTACAGTTGCGTGACTGTTTTTCGATGGCAAGTACAGACCCAGGATCATTCTCCTTTGGAAGATATATCGCTGAACGACATCATTGCGCTATGTATCCTTCAGTTGCGTTCCCGATACAGTAGGTGGCATGCATGCGCTGATCTCCTCGAGTTGCTTCCAAAGCAAAGCAGGTCTGGGAAGGCGTGACAAACATGGACGCAGAGTTGCTCTTTTTATCAAACGTCAGCCTAGCCAGACGCTGATCATCCTTTCAAAACCGAAAGCGACAAGAAGGAGCTCTTGTGCTGATGGAAGGCAGACCTGCACGGACTTCTCGGCGACGCCCTCCACAGGCACTGTACCGGAAGCGCAATACGAGGACCAGCCTGTAGTAGAAAACGTCTACATGTATGTTTTGTATTGTGTATTATTTTGCTTAGCTAGCTAGCTAGAGCGGTGAGGTCTTCTGGTAGGCCGCAGTGTCGCAAGACAATCTGCATCTTTGTTCATCATAAAGGCACAGTGGACAACCTTGAAGCAGCACAAGATATTGAAACAGACAGACAGACAGATAGATCATAGATGGATCTCTCTGCATCCACTGCATTTTCGTTGGCAAGAAAGAGGCAGTGGCTGATTTTTTCTTCTTGTGTCTGACAATTAACTCCAAGTCAATTCACAGAGCATTTTCAAGAATATCAACGCTGTCTAGCAGGGTGTTGCCAACAGCGTCCAGACATTCCGTCATTCAGCTTTTGTGAGATTGTGTCGCACAGACCTCCTCATGGTCCAGTTAGTTGTGGATTGTCGAGCCGACATGCATGCTCTGTCGCTCCGAGAAAGACCTTCCTTACGACTGACTACCTACTAAACCTCCAAGTATTTGACATCCTCTAAAATCCTAGCTTGTTGCTTCTCGTCGGCAATGACAGTTCCAATAATCCACGAATCAGTACCATCCAGGTCTTTCAATTCTTCCATGTAGGCTTGTGCTGTTTCCTTGGGCATGCAAATCATGAGACCACCCGAGGTTTCCGCACTATACCCCGTGGTCAATTGAAAGTTGAGGACCTTGTCATTGACTTGCTTGGTGCCGGCAATGAGTGGCAGAGTGTGCAATTCAATTCCGACCTTTTCCTTTTGATTTTCGACCAGGTTTTGGGCATGACCCAAGATCCCAAACCCAGTCACATCCGTGGCCGCACACGCCTTGTGCTTGACCATGATGCTTCCAGCATTCTTATTCAAACGCGCCATGCTACAGACCGCCTGATGCATCATTTCTTCTGCTTGATCGTCCGTCACAATATTTTCGTCAGTGCACTTTTTCCAGAATTTGTTGTTGTTGTTGTTGTTGTTTTGATTTTGATGATGACGACGCCACTGATGGACATTGACGGCAATTTGTGTGCCCAAGGGTTTGGTCAAAACGACCACATTTCCCACTTGCGCTCCATCCGATGGTACAAACTCTCCTTCGGCCACCACGGATGTGGCGACTCCTCCAATAATCGGCCATGGATTCAAAACGGTCTGTCCTCCGGTAATACAAGTGTCCGCATCGGTACAGGCATCCCGAAAACCCCGTACCATTTCCTTGGTACAAATGGTCCGTTGATCTTCGGGCATATCCCGACACGCCGCCAATAGCATGAGTACAAAATCACACGACTCGACACCTTCCGCATACAAGTCACTCAAGACATTGGCGGCTCCAATGCGTCCTTGCAGATAGGGCGAATCGACCAGTGGAAAGAAAAAGTCGGTGGTGGAAATCACGTAGTGACCTTGTCGTGTCTTGCGGACACTGCAATCCAAGGCAATGCGACCATCGGCCGTGCCCAAATTCTGGCCATCCCCCAGATTCAATTGTGCCAACATTTGCTGCAATTCGTCTTGCGGAATCTTGCAGGCTCAGCCCTTGAGGGTACTCCATTCGGTCAACGACCAGCCGGCAGGGAGACCGATGGATGTGGGGTCAAAGTGGACCGTGTCTTTCTTTTCCAACTTGTTGTTGTTGTTGTTGATGTTGTTGTTGTTGGTGGTGGTGCTCATGGTGCTCATGGTGGTGGTTTACTATACTAGCTAGCTAGCTAGCTACGTATCGAAGCAATGGAGACCGCTACAGATACGGTAGATAATGTCTCTCGGTTGTTGCCGTCTCTTTTGGTGTTGTTGCGTAGTTCGTGTTGGCTGGCTGTGCTGCGTGTTCAATTCAACGGTTAGGGCCAAAATGCGTCTAAAGGAGAAGATACGCAACCTTGACGGCTTACTACTGCGCCCAACAATGGCTGTCGGAAGGAAGATACCACAGTACCATAGTATGACAACAGTAGTTGTAGTAACGTGCGGCTTGCCAGCCTCCGGCAAGTCGAGTTTGGCAAAGTGGTTGGTATCATCGTCCTGTCCGGCAAGCATTTTGGAGATTGGCTGCGTTGAGTTTGACAAAGTGGAAGATAGTTTGGTGCTGCAGCAATCTTCAGTATCAGAATCTGCCACAACTGATTATTCCAGAGAAATTTGGAAAAAGAGTCGAGCAAAATCTATGGAAGCGTTTCGACAAACGTTGTTCCAAGTTCCTGCCAACGATAATACTACTCACGCCAAACAACAAGAGGATCCTGCTGCTGCTGCTGTTACCAGAATCATCATACTCGACGACAATTTCCATTTGCGATCTATGAGACGAGAAGTCCTTCGGATATGCCAAGAGTTCATTGTCGCGTCTTCTTTGGACGATACGAACAATCCTAAAGTTTATTTCGTTACCTTATGGGTAGATACCCCCAAGGAAATTTGCTTGCAACGAAATCAAACAAGAGCCAGAAAAGTGTCCCCCGATGTCATTGAGAGAATGAGCCATTCCTTGGAACCACCTGGAAGAGACCATTGGGAGAAATGCTACCTGCACATCCATCCTGGCGAGGACGGTGATACAACACAACCATCCAAAACGACGGTCCTCGATTTCATCACCCACGAATGTATACTACAAGGCCATGAGCCTGTAGCGCCACCCCCTCCTCCAGTAGACTTGGAGCAACTGGAAGCGGAACGGCGGAAGACCCGAGAAAACTGGTTGCAGATATGGGATCAGCGGCTCCGGACGTGGGTGGGAAAAGTACCACAAATCTCGCGAAATGATACCAATCAAGCCAACAAGGCTCGCAAGCAAGTGCTGCAACGATTGCGACAATACTTGCAGCAGCAGCAGCGACAGACGGATGTGGAAGAGCTCCCGGACGGTTCCCAGATATCGGAATGGTTCCTGGCCGCAATGAAAGTGTCGTGGTCGGAGGACCAGGTGCAGGCGTTTCACACAGCAGTATTGCAAGAAGTAGTAGAGGATGCCATTCAAAAATAAGTCAGGCAGAAACCCAAAAGAATGGTATTCTGCAGGAACCTCCAAATGCAGTATCTCACACTGCTACTACGTTATCCATGCATTTGCCGAAATGACGAATCAAGATTAACGCAAAACAAGCGCATGCCCTACGACGTGTGCTTTCAGTGCAGTGTTGCATGCACATGCAAAACCCGGCAGGCCTGCATAGTCATCAACAAGCGAAGCAGCTCTATTACCATTGCAACCAGATTTCATTCTTGGCTACAAAGCGGTCAACCCCCCAAGTCGGACCGTGGTTGAGGACGCTGGTAAAGGAATGAAGCAGACATACCAACTTCGATGACATTCAGGGTCTAGCTAGCTCGAATCATATTCCAAATCCAGTGTGAGTTGTTATCTATAGCCCCATGTTCATCTCCTCCTATACCCAGCCTCAATCAGATCTGTAGAGGCGGTGGGATAATGATTTTCCACTTGAAGAGACACTGGACATCACTTGCTTGCGGCTAGAATAAATTTTACACGACGGCCTTCTTCAGTTGTTGGGGTGTTGTGAGAAATTATCTGCTGGTCTTGTTCGGATGCTGGCCGACTGGAGAGCCTAGTTTTGTGGATTGTCTCTTTCTTTGGTATGGGCTGGCTCGCCAATCTAGAGAGGATCCCCTCATTTGTCTTTCTTTGGCTCCAGCAATTCCAGAATCCGGTCTAATTTCTCACTATTCGACTTGACTTCCTTCTCCAACTGTTGTACTCGACACATCATCCCCGCCAAAACAGGACCATCTCCCGCTGCCATTGAGGCCATGCCCCCCGTTTGTTGTTGTTGTTGCTGCTGTTGTTGTTGTTGTTGTTGTTGTTGTTGTTGTTCCAACGACAGCTGGATAAATTCCCGGAGCGTTAGGTTTCCAGAACCATCGGCATCTGCGCTCTGGAAACTCTCCATGAGCTGTTTGCGCAGTGGGTCTTCGCTGGCACCGACGCTGGAGTCATCATCTTCCGTCTCTTCCCCTGCAATAATCTTTTGATATTCTTCATCGGTCGAGTAATCGTCATCGTCCGATAGCCCCGATTCTCTGCGTTTACGAATCTCGTACGCTCGCTTCGCCATTCGTGCTGCTTCGGCTTCAAAGCCCCAAGTGAGCTGCACAGCACAGTAACGGTATTCAACACCACCAAGGAGTTTTGTGAGATCAAGAGCAATAAATGATGCGTGGGCCAAGTCGACTCATCAGGGGACTCGAGAGTACTCACCATCTGTGAAAGCCCAAAGTTTAGGACAGATTTGAGAGAGATATTCATAGTTAGTTACTCCAGCAAATTTTGTGTGGTTTGGTTGGTGCATCATCCGCCTGACATGAATAGACTCACCGAAGCTGGAATGGCAAACATTGCCACTGACACGATGCTTGTACCTAGCACCACGACCTATACATGCAATACGGTATATCCAAGAGTATCGCAGACAGAATAAAAATGTTTGTTGGAACAAGAGCAATGATTCTGTGTACCTGGTAGTATCAGTGTAACTTTAATTGTGTACTCACCTTGGTATACCACGGAAGGTCACCTTGAGGACTGCCTTGTCCTGTCAACATGAGTGTGGCTAGGTACATGGTGGACAATATGGACTGGAACTCTTCATCCGAGTAGTCGTTTAGGTGGGTATCCACAGGTCGCAAATAGTAGAGAATGACACCGGTCCCCAACACGAGCATAATGCACACAAACGTTGCCACATAGAGAATTTCCCCATTGTAATAAATGACTCGATATACCGCGGACGTGGCTCTGGTAGCACCACTAGTTTTGGTAATGCGCATCATCCTTAAAAAGCGCAAATACGTCAATCGAGGCAATTCCGATCCCACGAGCCGATCAATGAAAAAGGGCAGAGTGGCCAGAGCATCCAAAATGGCCGCTCCCGAACACGCGAACCGCAAGCGCCCCCAAAATGGACCATGGTGTCGATACCGTGGTCGTTCGACGCAAATCACCAATCGCGCCAAGTACTCCAATAAAAAGACTGCCGATGAAACCATTTCCATGTCATGAAAATAGGAATGGTATTTTTCCAACGCTTTTTCCGTGGACAAAATAAAGGAAGCCAAATCGAGCACAATGACGCTGAAAATGACAGTCTTGAAGAGCACCGCCTGCCATTGTCGAGAGCGAGGATTGAGCAGGGAATACAGAAAACTAAACTGCTTCTTGGACTTGGATGGCACCTGTTGTTGGTCAGTACCTGTAGCACTAGTGATTGTGTCCTTCTTCTTGATCTTTGGTTCGGTGGGATCACTAGTCAGAACACCCAGCACCGTCGAGCCCCTCTTCACTCGAACCGACATCTCTATCTCCCCTCTCCCGGTGAGCCAGCCAGATGGATTGTTGTATGCTTCAGTGGCTAGTATGGTATTACGAGTCAAGTCCTTCTTTGGTGACCCGCTGTAGCCATTATCATGGCGGTTGTAATGCACATGCTGCTTGCCGACCAAAAACAAATGAAAAGATCCAAAGATACCCGACCAATCAGGTTCAACAGCTTGAAAAACTTGGGAAGGTCCCGAACGCCAGCCAATCGGGCCTGTCGATCAAAAATCAAAATGACTCTTGTCACGTTTTGGAAAAATTGAACTGGAACGCCAAACATCAAAACTCGAAACGAAAATCAAACCCAACAGGCAGGTCATTCTTGCCTTCTTGTCGCCATGGCTAGCTACAAGCACTATTGTACGTAGTAGATCGCCACATTTTAATTTTCCTCTTGACAGTTGCCAGAATCAGTCAGCTCTGCCTGCAGTGGTCTATCTATTTGGTGGTTTTGCATCATTCAATCTATCCCAGTAAGAACAACAACTATTCCGATTGATACCCCCAGTTCCGTTCCTTGGTGGGCTCACAATAGATTATCTTCGTCGTTTTTCCCTATCCATCATTGCTTCCTCCTACCGTACCGGATTAGATTATCACATCATGTTTTCCAGACGAACGCGACATGGCTTGACATTTTCTGTTGTGTTTGCAGCAATGGCGTTGTCCTTATCAAGCCAACAAGTGCAAGCATCAGAGGAACAACAACAGCTGCGAATGACACAACAATCACAACAGCAAGAACAGGAGCAACGGCAATTAGGATCCGTGATCATAGTAGATCCACAAGGGCAAGACAAGTACGATCTGGAAAAAAGTTATCCACAATACGAAGCTCCGCAACAAGAAGAATCACAACCGCTGCCGCAAGTACCCAACAATAATAATGAAGAACTTCCAAGCGTTCGAAGTGGACCCCACCCAAGTAACGAAGAGATCAACGTCAAGTACCAGCCAGATGCATCCAAGCGGCACGAGCTCTTTGTCAGTGATCGGGTAGTGGGAGGATTCGGGGTCGGTCCTCGCACGTGGTATTCCATGCTGCTCTACAAGGATTCTGCCGGATGGAAGTTTGCGGGATGCGGTGCTACCTTGATTACCAACTGTCACGTACTCACTGCAGCGCATTGTGTCGAAGATCGAAATTTTGATATTGAAGGCATCTACAACAACGCACACACTCCCTACGACGGAAATTCCAATCATCCATTTCATTTTACCAGTGCACAGCGGATCTTTGTCCCACAAGAGTACGACGATTACACCAATGTAAATGATATTGCCGTCATTCGAATGAGCGAGTGCCTCAACCTGGCCGACTATGCACCAGCCATTCCCGCTTCGCCGTACAATTCACACGTCTCCCAAGGCGAAATGCTAGAGCTCTATGGGTTTGGACGACTGGGGGAAAATCTGGGACAGTCCGGGGACACCAAACAACTGCAAATGGCACAACTACCCTACATCCCCAACGAACAGTGCAAGAACTACTTTGGAAACAAGATCCGATATGGAATGTTTTGTGCTGGGTTTGGGCAAGGAGGTGTGGATGCTTGTCAGGTATGTCTCTACGCCTTGCTTTCTCTGCACTACACCATTGCATTATTCCGCCATATCCTAAACTGCTTTTCATCTTGCTTGTGTCCAACAATTCTTTCAGGGAGATTCGGGCTCGGGGCTGCTCCAGAGACCTACTAATCCCAACGATCCATACATTCTCACTGGGATTGTATCTTGGGGTGTCGGGTAAGTTGTAATTTGTTTGTGAATTCAATGCCTATACCGAATGTCGAGAAATGGATTTGACCGAATCTTTCCTTGCCATTGCTCTCTTTGCAGGTGTGCAAGACCAGGATATCCTGGCGTTTATGCCAAAGTGTCAGACTTTTATGAGTGGATCAAGACCAACGTTTGCAATGACCCAGAGTTGGATCCGTCCATTACCTGGTGTACAGACTCTCCTCCCGAGAATACATTGATGCTACGTCAAAATGATTGCTCGCAAAATGCTCCCTGTGGGTCTTGCGAAGGGGAATGCAACAACGATCATGAGTGTGTGGGCAACTTGGAATGTTTCAAGCGAAGCGGCAACACCCCCTTTGATCTCATTCCAGGTTGTGTAGGAACGGGGGTGGCAAGTAAGTTATCTTTGCTGCTTGCAATGCTACGCATTCTGCCCAACCTTTCTCCTGATGCCTTGTCCCTCTTCTGCATTCTCTTGTAGCCCGCAACTACTGTTATGATCCCAACTTGAGTCGCTTTGCAAATACCTCTGCACAAGGGAGAGAAAACAAGCCGGGTGCCAACAACATGCGTGGTTCAGCCACCAGGCGAGCACCCACATCGGGGCAAAGACAAGATACCCCTGCTAACACTTCCTCGCACAACAAGAACCTGCACCAAAACACTCAACAAACCAAAAGCAACAACAATGGCCGGCGAAAACGTCAGAACGGAGGAAACAACTAAACGAGAACTACCCTCTAGCTCTCCACGCTACCTCATTTTTGCTTCCAATCTCCAGTCAGCTTCCAATGTTGCACTGTAATGGATTAGGCACTTCCCAACTCAATTATGGCATCCTTCTATCACTATATCACTGTCATCCGAGGTTGTAGGGTCCGTATACTCTGACAACGCGGTACTGGAGGAAAAAGGACCTTTTGAGTGTTCAATGTACTTTACTATCCCAATAATCACAACAACTATAAGTTTACTCAGACTGTAGGAAACGGTTTGGTTTAACTCATCATGAAACAACTCTAGCCCCATCTCATTGTGAGGATTTCATGCAGTCTTTCGAATAGAGAATCACGATAGCGGGTGCTCTCTATGTATATGCATTATCTACTAGTAGTGTATCAAGGATAGTTCAATCAAGAACCAGCTGGAGTCTTTTTCAATCCATCCAATTCGGGCAAAGAATCGTCAACTACCGCCGCTGGAAGCGGCCAACTCAAGGAGCTGAGCTACAGCCAAGAGTACCTGGAGGTCTTTCAGAGTTTTGGAAACCAGCATCAGACCACTGCGTTCAAAAGCGGTAGCGGCGTCGCCAATCCACTGAACCATGTTTCCTTCGGACGGCGTCGGGAATACCAAAGGAGAAACACTTGCCGTTGGCCCTCCCTGGGCTGACAATGGCGGCGGCTGTAGGACAAGTTGTGGTTCCCTTGAAGCCGGGTTCTGGTTTGGATCTTGAGCTGCCAATAGAGTGGAAGAAATCAACTGTGCTAGTTGGGAGTCTACTTCTGTTGGGATGGGTGGGCTGGAAGTGGGCGCTGCTCCAGCCGACGTAGGAATGGCGCAAGCCATCGTGGAGTGTGTCCCTGCTTGGTTATTCCAGGCTGGTACTGCAGGCACAGACGGCGCTGGTGGTCCAACCTGTAGTTGCGTAGAAACCACATTCTGGTTTGGATCCTGTGCCGCCGTTATCAAACAGGCAGCAATCAACTGCATGAGTTGGGTCTCCACCGCTGTGGGGGCGACTGGGATGGAAACTGGGGTTACTCCTGCAGAGCAAGTATTATTGGCAACTGTCCCGATGGAGTGAGTCCCCCCCTGAGAAATGACGGCCGGCAATAGAGGCGGAGGAGGCGGGGGTCCAACTTGTGATGGCGGGGAAACCAAGTTGTGGTTCACTGGGTTTTGGGCTGATGATGAAACAACGGCACTTATCAGCTGTGTCAATTGAGAATTGACTGCCGTGATAGCCTCTGTGCTAGAAGTGGGCTCTACTCGTCTTGTTGAAGTGGCATTGGCACAAGTGCTGGTGGAGTTGTTCGCTCCCCGAGCATTGATGGCGGGCGATAAAGCTGGCGGCGGCATTGTAGGAGGAGGTCCAGCTTGTGATGGCGGGTTAGCTGTGTTCTGGTATAGCGAGTCTTGGGCCGATGACGCAGCAGCTGCACGTATCAACTGCATGAATGGATGATCTGCTGTCGGTGCAGCCTGTGGGCTTGAACTGGTACCCGCCAATGCACAACTTTGATTCGGCTGTTTGGAAGCGTAGGTGGCAGGAGTTACCATTGGTTGGCAGCCCGCACCGCTGTTGCCGCAGGGTGCTCTCACAGCAACTGTGGGGCAAAATTGCGGCTGCATCTGCCCTGCCGCCAGCGTGCCAACGAGAGTTGCAGACACAGAGCCACCTGGACTTGAGGTTCCTTGGCTTCTCGCACCTTGGACTGGATTGAACCCAGGCATGGCGACTGCCGACTTCGAATTCTTGGATTGGCCCGGGCCTTGGTTTGAGTTCACAGAAGCACTGCTTGTGTCAGACCCCGGATCAGGAGATGGGGACACCACGTTAGCATGATGGCTTGGAACCCCCCACTGACGACTAGTAGCATTTGGCATGGCTTGCCCATGCAAGGCGGCTGCACCTGTAGCATTCGTGTTAGCAACCCCTTGTAGACTAGAACCTTCGCGCAAACACTTCATAACCTTTTGCTTGGCCTTGCGATTGCCAATGTCCCTCCATGGACTATTGTTCCCCTTAGAAGGGTCCGCTCTGATCAAGAATCGTCCTGGGGGACTCTGTTTGCGCCACAGCCGAACCAACACAATGGCCATGGCCGCCTTTTGTGTCCTGCAGGGAGCACTGCTGTAGCGTTCTTTCCAACAGTCAATCATATGTTGAAACTTGACGTTCCCAGGATATTCCATAATGCGCCCTCCCCTTCCGCAAAGGACTGAAAGAACCGAAGCTTGTTGTGAGTCTTAATGTTGGGCGACGTTGCTTCCAAAGGTCATCCTTTGGCTGAACTTACCATCTTATGGGAGAAAGCACAAGCAACGGGACCACAAGAAGATGAGACTAATAACTAGTGCAAAACAACCAAGAAACAGCCTCTTGCCGACCAGAAAGCACTCGAGCACTGATCCATGGTACAGGTGCTCTTCCATGAAATTGTCCTCGTCTGCTATAGCTATTGCGCTTACCATTCTTTCCTGGATCAATAATCACCTCGCTTCGTTTACTTGTCGTCATGGTCTGGGAGTAGCTAAAAGATGATTGAAGAAACTGAAAGGTGGGTTTGTTTCCAGACTGGTGTTTTACTACCGTATGCGTTTTCGAGTTGTCAGAGGACTGTTTGAGGCTGGGAAGAACGGTGGCCGATGGATTTTGATTGTTGTCACTGTCTTCCAGGAGGGAGAATCAAGGAAGTCAATGGCTGCGCGTCAGAATGATGGTGTGTCCACTTAGACTAGTCTTCTAGGGCTGCGAACTGCGAACCACTTGCCAACCTTCGTTACGCTCTATATGGGTGTTTCGAGCGTAGAATATGGCCTGTTCTGATGCAAAAAGTGAGGAGCAGCACCTTTGGGAGTTTGATCGAGTATGACGTCAAACATATTGCCCCCAACGGGATCCTTGTCATGTCGCATTTATCCTTGTCACGTCGCACAACAACGTGTCACTTATCTTTTTCTATCAGAGAACAGTACGTCAAAAACCATCAGGCAGCACGGTCAACTATCCCAATTTATTATTTTAAATCGTTGTGTCATGGTTTTTAAATGACGTACTAGAACTCAATTTTGTGTCCGTTTCTTACCCCAATTACTCCCTTCAAACCTTCAAAGTCATATTTGAAATTATCAAGACTAAGGACGCACAAATGGCAATGCAAAATGACGCAAACACACGAGGGACTGTTCGCTTCCACTTCGCTTCTTACGCAACAGTTTCTACAGTAGACGCTTGTAAGGCTCTGTCAACATGGGCTCAATGACGACAGGTTCTTTGGTGGTCTGATCACGGATACCGGTATCAGTCACATCTGCTGGCTTACTTACTTTGTTCCGTCCCGCCACACTGCCAGTGCCTCTACCGGGAAGGCACCCGGTGACGTCATAAAGTCGTGTTTTCTTGAAAGTCGCGAAAATCGCCAAAAGTCGCGCTCTTTCGCGACTTTAAAAGTCGCGAACGACTTTACCACGACTTTACCGCGACTATTATCGCGACTTTCGCGACTTCCGCGACTTTACGGCGACTTTACTAACAAAATCACTACATTTCACCACCACTTTGCCGCGACTTTTACCGCGACTTTTAAAGTCGCGCACGACTTTACCGCGACTTTATCGCGACTTTAATAGCGACTTTAATGTGTTTTAGCGACTTTACAGCGACTTTTGCTATGTAAACGCGACTAACTATCGCCAACCGGATGCCTTCCGGTACGATCTGGTCTTGGGTTCTTTGTCTCATTCAGTACTGTCATGGAAGTCCAAAGCTGTAAATGACACATATGCATTAACACCATTATATTCACTAAGATGGGGGTTTTCTGATACCCGAGTACCCGTGACAGGGTCACTCCAAGGCACTGTGCTCTAGGCATTCAAATCCTGATGGGAACAGACCTTCCTCCTTTACAGGAGTTGCTCTGCCTGGTTCAACACCTTGGAAAGCATGGATGTTCCCAACATTCAAATCTTGTCCATTTGTAGATACACATGGTCTCTGGTCATGACACCAGAGAAGA